CCTTTTGGCAATTAAACCTGAAAATGCATAAAAACACACAAATGAAGATCTACAGAATTAAACAAATAACGGACTTAACTAATGCAATTTAGGGCGCTTGAATATACAGTATTCGGCGCTTATCAAGTTACCTCAAAAACTAGGGTTCGTCATCTATCGTAAACCCAGTACTCAAAAGAATCTTTTCTTATCTTCAATATACTTCGAGACGTTTTGCAAATCTACTTGTTGAGCGGAAGATGATGACATATAGACCCTATTGTTAGCAGAAACGAAACCCTTTCAACTCTATTGGTTTAAGCCCTAACCCTGATCCTTTAACAAATTCACCGTTTTCTATAGATTATCTGTCTACTAGATAGAAATTGCCTTCAACACACAGAGACACACACTCAAATTTAGAAACTTTTTTCATCATCTCTGTAAAGTTTCTTCTTTGCATATTGATTGAAGCTTAGACATGACAGTGATTACCAATAAAGCCTATTTGGGTCATCGCACCAAAAGAAGAAAAACATCATCAGATTCATCACCGGATTGGTCTGGACTTCCCACTGACTTGTGGGAATTAATCCTGACCCAACTGTCTGTCTTTGACTTGCTTGGTGCCAGAGCAGTTTTTCGTTCTTGGTGATCTCTTGCAGAAGCCTGAATATCATCACTAGAGAGTCCACTGTTTGATCAACCATTTCACTTTTTTCCTGGTCCTGATCAAGAAAATAAAATTTGTTGTTACTTATACAATTTTGCAGAGAAAAAAGTCTACAAGCAGCTAATAAAAGTTCCAGAAGACTTAGGCAATTGTAAAGGATAATCCCATGGGTGGTTGATTTTTTTGGACCTAAAACATCTCCAGTCCATTCTTGGAGATTTTGATTAAACTTCGTTCTTTTCGTGTTACCGGTGAAGTTTGTAAAACAAGCATTGATTCTTCTTTATCCAGGATATTAAGAAAGGTGTTCTGTCTTCGGCCCCAATTCATTGTGTCAACAACTATTGGGTTGCAGTAATATATGGTGCAATTGATTTAAAGCTTGCCTTTTGGAAGTATGGAGACAATGAATGGACTGCCCTTGACAGTGCACATCAATGATATTTTGATATCATATCCTACAATGATCATATTCTTGCTTTGGGTGAAACATGTTCAGTTGAAATTTGGGATTTCAATCATTCTTTTCTTGAAAAAAAGATGGAAATTGAGCCTATTTTTCCTGAGAAGAAGTTGAAATTTGAAAAGTCTCTTGAATATGATCTTTATACTATTCAACGTTACATGGTAGAATCAAATGGTGCTTTTTTGCTTATTTTGAGGTATATTGGGAATCATGTTCGCTTGGATGGTGTGGTTGTTCATGAGGCCGATCTTCCTGATAAAGAGAATCAATACTGGATTTGTCCTCACTTGACAAAGCTGTTTCATGTTTACAATCTGAATTTCAGTCAGAAAAAATAGGTAGAACTAGCATCATTAGGCGATGATCAGGTGTTGTTTTTGGATCCGAATCAATTAGTGTCACATTCAACAAAGAGTTTTCCATATTGTAGAGGGAATTTGATTTACTTCACGGATGAGTACTATTGTGATCATTTGGGTAAGAATGATATATATGGTCATGACATGGGCAGGTTTGACATGGAGAATTAGAGTATAGGACTGATTAACGAAGATGAAAATGATTGGCAGAAAATTGAACCAGCACCCATTTGGGTTGTTCCTAATCTATGCTAGTTATAGAGACATCCTAAGATATGATTTAGTAGACTTGTTTCTTTTTATTTTTGTATTCTTATGGGCTACAATTTTGTACATTAATACACAAGTAATTTTTTGATTTGTTGGTCCTTGTAATAAATAAATATTATTTACCATATGTTAATACATGTATCTTCAAGCTTATACTACACCCTCTGATGACGGATAATAATTTTACTAGATTGCCAGGTCATCTGTGCTTAAATATGGCCCTCTTTTTGAAAGTTGTCTTTACTGACAAACCTAAAAAATTCAAAAAAACTTGAAACAGGCCTCAAGTGGCGAACTGTACAATTTAATGCACCCTGCACCTTCTATCACATCCAAACAGAACAAATTTAACTCTTCATGGATATATTGATTATTCACTCGATCAAATCTCACAATTATGGGGCTTCCACTTTCTTTTTTTTCAACAAGTAAATGAACAATCAAATAAAGAATCGCACTCTTATGGGTCTGGAAACATAGAAATTTTGATGACTTTGAATATGTAAAAGGGTTAGAAAACGTCACCATTTAAAAAAAGAAAAAATGAATCAACTATCACAATCAACTGCTTTGCTTCAAGGGGGCTGCATAATGATCTTAGTCAAAACAAATTTATTATGCCGATTTCGGTGTTGCCTTGGGGTGTCATAACAATACCAGAGTCACACATTACTGTTGTTGGGGTGCCTTGGATTGTTGTGTTGATCTTCAATATCACACATTACTCTTGTTGGGCTGCTTTGTATGTCTATAATGTTGTATCTTTCCCATTGGGCCTTCTGGGCTGTACTTGTATAGTTTTACTTAGTTAGCATTGGGTTAACTACTGGGCCGTACTTTTTCTACAAATTGAATGTTAAATTTGACTTTCAAAAAAAAAAAAAAAAACAATACCAGAGTCATCTTGGTTTATCATTACCAATTAACAGAAAGGAATGTCTTTTTAAGACTTAATTAACTCAAATGATCATAATACACACCGAATAAACTATGCCAATCCAATTCATTGGTCCAGTGGTGTCACGGGTGAAGTCTACTTCAACATTTGAAATGGTGGTTTAGGCTTTCTTAGCTTGGAAACACAAAACAGAGCTGCAATTTGAAATGGAAACTCGTGTTAAATACTCAGAACAACCTATGACTCAAACAAAAATACTTAATCAGAAGGAGATGTTTTGGGGATTTTAGCATACCTCAACAAAGCAGTTGGATATGGAAAAAGCTACTTCAGCTGAGATCCTTAGAAATGACCTTTTTTTTTATTTTTTATTTTTTATTTTTTATTTTATTTATCAAAAGCAAGGATAAAAATGGTTCAGAAACTCTCTTCCGGACAAACAATTTGGCTGCAAGAACAGCCACTCGCCAGTCCATCTCTGCTTGATTCCTCGCAACCATTTTACTCAGGTGATTCTTAGTGCTTCCCTCCACAAATTCTTTCCCGGTTCCCAGCTTTTAACTTTCATATTAAGAGACCCTTGGCTATTCAAGTACTGCTTGAAGCTAGATACATTACTTAATTAGCAGTGAGATCTTTCGGCAGCTAATAGCTTGATTGGCGTAGGGAAAGAAAGTAATGCACATAATCATCCTTCAGAACAATATGCAACTATGGGCGGTATTGCAAACAGATGCACTAGCAGCGCGACCAATTCCTAGTTCATAATATATTTTTTTTCAGAGCGTGCACGAATGGCCACTTAAGAACCGAAACATGATGGTGTAGCAAGGTCCCTTTGGATTGAGAATCAATGCTTGATCTCATAGCTCCAAGAGTAGGTTTATTAACTCCATGGCTGCTCCCATGCATTTTCGTAGTTCTTCTTCTCTCCCTCCTTTTTGATATGTGCCTTCTCAATCCATTGATTTCATCTACAACGGATTCAACCTAACAGACATATGGATTCAACCAAACAAACCTTATTCTAGATGGATTTGCTACCATCATCCCACCAAGTGGAGCTCTTGAGCTTACTAACAAATCTTCAACTAATGTCAGAGGCCATGCATTGTATTCCCAACCAATACAATTGTTCACCAAAAATTCTTCTTCTGTCAACTCTTCTAATTCCTTTAGTACATACTTTGTTTTTGAAATCGTCCCCAAAGATGTCAACCGACGTGGCTATGGCCTACTTAAGGTTTTCGACTCTTACAGGTCATGTCAACTGCACCCAAACCCGATCAGAGAAAGAAAATTCAGCTAGTTCCTGTAGCCGCACCTTCCTCCCAGCCAGAAAACACTGAAACCCCGAAGAAACCAGAGAGTAGCTTGGTGGTAGAGGCAGACATGCCATTAAAGTTGCCAAGAGCTATGTGGTCTGCAGCCTCGAATAGTAACAACCCATTGAGAGAGAGGAATGCTGAGCAGCAAGATGCTTCTGTTGTTAATAAAGAGGGTGGTCCTCTAGCTTTAAGAAGTCCACAGCTGCAGGCAAGAACGTTAGAGGACAAAGAAAACCGCGGTCTCTAAGCTGTTATTCCCTCGAGAAAAGTTCCAGTTATCTGAAATGTCGAGAATGTCATGGCTGGTGAAGAAGGATCAAACGTCTGCCAATCAGGTTTCACTGGTTGATACAATGTGGTTCTAAATTAGAGAAACCACATTGATTAGGTTGACGGCAGTTTGTTCTACTGTAAATCTTCTTTTCATGCAGGAGCTCTCCATTGTCCACTTCAAAAATTCAAGTCCATGGTCTACTACATTTACCGTGTAGACACAGGCAGGCTGTTCTGCCCTTTTGCCACTGTATAACTTGTGTTTTCAGTAAAACTAAGTGGAAATTGTATAATCTAATGAAATTATGAGGATTGGATATTCATTTGTTCCATAACATCTGAACTATTTCCTTCTCTGGCTGTGTTGGTGGGCTTTGCAGATGGCACCCCAAGATACCATACTGGCTGGTTTTGTTGCTACAGATACTGAAAATATTGAGCATTTTTTATTTTTAGTCATAGAGTAAGGATTTAGGGACGAGATGGTCGGTGGAGTCCACCACCCCACTCACATAAATTGAATTCAATAACTATCGAATTAAATCTTATCCGAAGTAAAATTGTGAAAATCAAAGTCGTCAACCTGGTGAGAGAATTTTTTTTTTTTTTTTAATCAAACAATGATTTACAACACATATATTTGAGGTTCCCGCAAGCAGAATCTTATCATCATTCAAGCAAGATAAAACTGAATGCTCTAAATTTCTAAATTTAATGTTATAAGAGATCCTAAAAAAATGTAATACAGTCTTAATAGAAGATAAATTCTGAACCATGGACATTCACATTATTTCAGTGAGAACATTATTGATCTGGTATAGTGATGATTTTTATCTTCGAAGTAGTACGACTTGCAGGAAAGAAAAAAAAATGGAGCTCTAAATGCAGGTAACTCTCATATAAAGGGTGCCGACGAAACCCTCGAGTCTCTGATACATTAAATAATTGTTCATTAAAGATCTGGTAATCTTATACAGACAAAATTTTCCTTTTCTGGTAATGTTCTGAATGGCTATAATTAGCATACTGCAATTCCAATTCTTCACTAATAGAACCTCAAATGTAGTAAGCACTGTGTCTCAGAGAACTTTCATGGCACCATTCATTATTGATGGTCTCAGTCTCTGTTGATGCCAAGTTTTTCTACCCAATAATTGAGTTGAGTGGCAACACATTCTGAACCTGTGGAGCCATATGAACAAAATTTTTTAATTGAATTGTCTGCTCCAAGGAACTCGTAAACATCCTTGTCAAACACAGGGCTTATATTCCTCATCTCAGCAAGACTCAGGTCCTGAAGCTGGCAGTTTCTGGAAACACACAACGCGACAGACCGTCCAACTATATCATGAGAAGTTCTGAAAGGAATTCCCTGCAGACAAGACCATGAACTTAAGTGACACTCTTATCGAAACTACAAACAACAATTCTGGCATAAAACTATTGAATTCTCTAATAAGATAGAACATCGGGATTTGGGATAAACAATTTTGGAAACAGTAATAGTTCCAGTACAACGACCAGGAAGTGTTGACTGTGAAATTTCAATTTCATGGACATGGCTGTCCATGTCTTTGTGTCATGAAAAATCATGTTGTTTACAGTCCCATGTTAGCACAATGTCACTTTACAATTGGCAGAACTTCCATCTTTTTAACCAAGTGAGATTTTTTTCTGAACAGAAGAGGCACACTATATTAGAAAATACACCTAGGGATTATTAATCATTTGGACAAAAATCTGAGTTGATAATTGGTGATGGGAATATTAGAACCATCTGAAGTTGATGGGTGAAATTTATGTAAAGAAGGCAGTTCTCCAATGGTAAAATGATGGGTGATTGAGGGACATAACTTGCCTTCTTCACCAGATAATCTGCAAGTGTCGTGGCATCAAGATGACCAGCTGGTAAAGCCTTCTGTATTCTCTCCCTATTAAAGGTAATGTTCTGCGCAAATTCTGCTGACACTTCCAGCATTCCTATGATTGTTTTCACGCTGTCAAATACAGGCTCCTTATCTTCCTGTTAAAAAGGGGGGCAAAAAAATAATTGCGATCAAATCCAATATATACAACTTGCATACGAATCTAAAATGAGAAAGAAACAAACCCCATAGAATCTAAGTCATATAGTGTACAAGTGCAACCCAAAAAATTGTATCATAGGGATTATGTACACCAAAAAGGAAAACAGTGAGGTAACAAGCAGCATATGAGCAGGTGGGGCAAAGTAACAGTAATGCTATATATATATATATATATTTGGATTTGAAAATACTTTACCTGTAAATCACGATTGTAAGCATGAGGAAGTCCCTTGCATAATACAAGAAGGGAAACCAGGTCTCCAACAACTCGAGCAGATTTTCCACGAACAAGTTCCATCGGATCTGGGTTTTTCTTCTGAGGCATTATACTACTCCCAGTTGAAACAGAGTCATTAGGGATAAGAAATCCGAACTCCTCTGATGCCCACAATACCCATTCTTCACCAAGCCGAGAAAGATGAACGGCTGTGATGGAATTAGCGGAAAGAAACTCCAAGACAAAATCTCGGTCTGAAACTGCATCAATGCTATTTCAAATAATGATGTAACTAATTATTTGATGAAGGAAGCTATTAACAACAAGGGAAAAGCAAGTAGGAACATCACACAAATGCAAATGAACCACAAATTCAGTTGGTGGGGGGCAAGAATCAAGAAACAAAGATGACCTTAAATGCATTATTAAATTTTTTTCTACTAAGATAGTAAGCATGGTGAAACAGTTTTCTTCTTATAGATAGTTTATTACTTTTTGGGATTCATATAGGCAACCTTTCCAACAGTAAAATGGACCCAACTGATAAACACATACAGTAAATGCATATGGTCTAATGTAACAACAGAGTACGGGAGGAATGATGCATTCTATTTCCCTGCAATATCCATGATGCGCATGCTTCCTCTGGAACATTCACCATCTTGGCCACTAGAATCTCAAAGCCCACAGTTGATTGAAGCTGATGAGCTTAAGAATTCTATAAGGAACCTTTTACTGAAAATGATATGCTGGCATGGATAATCGGTGTGGCCCAATAGAATGAGACTCTGTGGTGGGCCGCTCCTGATGGAGAGCAGTGTGTGCAGTAGTCAATAGGATTCCGACCAATGTTTTTGTACGTTGCTGAAGAATTAATCAAACAGTTTGTTCTTTTTTTTTTGATAAGTAGAATTAATCTAACAGTTGACATTCCAGAAAGTTAAATATGTGAAAACTGATTCAGCAGTACCTGTTCCTCATGGGAGCAGTGAATCCCAAAGCATCAGAAGTCATAAACCTATCAATTGGAAGACCAGTGCCAGCTAACGCACATGCACCTAAAGGGCAGAAATTCATCCTAACTCTGCAATCCAGTAAACGACCAGCATCGCGTTCAAGCTACAAGGCAACATTGTGGCCACAGTTACATCATGGAAGTTATATAAGAATCATATCAAGCTTTAGAAACTAAATATGTGATGTAGTCCATTCCTCCACAAATCAAAAAATAAATAATTGAACAAATAAATACATAGATTTTTGGGAAAGCAAAAAACCAGGGGGTGGCAGGGGAAGAATCATTCAAAATTGTAAAACCGTTACCCTCCATCTCCGGAAAACCACTCTTAGTCCAGGTCATCCCTTACTACCTATTGGATCTACCTTAAGTATGATTATCCTTATTGATGACGACTATATTTATGTGGGTATAACATTCAACTAACAGATTATTCTGGTAAACATAGTAGTGTCATGTACTACACACACTATAACAATTCACATGAATAGAACTCAATGCCATGTTAACTTAAAATTTCTCCTTCACATTTACCTCAACAATGAGCATCGAGTATTCATTAGGAAGTCATGATAGTTCTAGCTTCTCAGCAAAAGCAGATTTTTTCCCCTCATTGTAATAAATTGGAAGCAGGTTTAACATTATATAAGTTCCAATCTCAGTTTGTGACATCATTATTAAGAGAGTCGACAAACTATGCAAGTCGGCTTGATATCAAAATTCTTTCAGCACAAATGAATATTAAAGGCTTAAATGTTGGTGATCACTGATTACTGTGAAATTGTGAATAAATTTTAAAGATCTATATAACATTTGCTCATTGGAAACACCAAAATAGGTTCAAAAAATGAATAGTAAGTGGATGTAAGAATGACAAGACCAATTCAGTCTTCAGTCTTCAGTCTGTGAGTTTCAGTTTCTTAGAGTAGCGAGTGATCAGTCTTACACTTTTAGTTCAGAACTATTATAAGTGTTTAAACCTGAACGATGCACAAGTGAAAAATAAAGACCTTCTGTTATGTTCCATACTTATTTAGGAATGAAAGCAACAAAACTTTCTGGTGTTCATGTTCAAGAGAGTAGTTAAAGAGAAATACAGAACAAATTCTCAAAAGAAAAAAAGGGAAAAATCTTGATATATCAAAAGAGAGTGCATATTAAGCTATCAGGGTGGCCCAGAATGAGGGGAGTCCAGTTTTGGACACATTATAAAATGCTTTTGTTAAAAATTTGTTCTAAGTATTCTTCACAGTTAACCACAGAAGGTATTCATAGGGAACATATTTTTGTAGGAACTCTGCCGTTTGTGAGGAAGCAATAAAACAGAACATTTCCATAACCAATCTCCCATATAGTGAAAGAAGTTACATAAATTCCTTGTGCATGAAGCAGGTTAAAGTGAAAGATTGCTGGCTACCTCAGGTTTCTTACAGTGTTTTGACTACAATAGTAGGATTCCTGGGAGCTGGCAGAACTTATCCAGCAATTGGTCAAGGTTTTAAAATATGAAACTTATAAAGAAAAATCCTTGCACTTACTGCCACGCGAGCAAATCATGTGCACAGGTTCCAACTTTCAAGAAAGATATGGTTATAGATCTGATAACATATAACATGAGAGACCCATCAGAGATTCAGAAAGCCAAGAAAGACTGGCGCCTAGATGGTCAATAAACTAATAAATCGGTGTACTAATATGCATTACTTTGAAGAAGGAAAGCCATTGATCTGCCTGGTTGGTAAAAGGTTTTAAGGCAAGATTTGAAGGAAAACATACTATAACACGCGGTGTTTATCAAAAGCTCTGGATATATCAAATGACATGGTGAGAAATTCCCTTACAAGCCTTACCATGTTTGTTCTTACAAGAGCCTCTCTTTCCCCTTACATTAGCTTTATAAGATGTTTTCAGCAATTAAATCAGTTAAGTTTTTGCTATGTCATGTGTGAAATTGTGAATAAGAATATTTGACGTATCTATGATGTCAAAAAATTTGAAATGTTGGATATTGTTGTCATAGATTCCACTTCTCATTATAAATGTGATACTAGAGGGGTATAATAATGTCTGAAGCAGCCAGCAGCTACCAATGGTTCATAAATAAATCAATTTATACCTGCTCAACATATGCTAATAGAAGATGTTGCAATAGAATAGGCTGCGCCCTTTGTAAATGTGTATAACCAGGAACAATCAGACCCTCATTCTTCTCAGCCAAGTTGACCAGTGCCACCTGCAGATTACATCGCATAACTTCTGAATGAGTGAAAAGGCATACAATTGAACAACTCATACATAAAGCATTACTGTCTGCCAAAACACCACTTCCTATCACAATGGATAAGTTGATGAAAATTATGCTGAGTCTTGTCAATTATAAAATAAAGGAAGAAATGCATAGCCTTATTGTCTCTAAATTACGTAATTCATTTCCTCTTCTTTTTTGCATTGGAGAAAATAATGATTGGAGTGAGATATGTATATATATATATATATATATATATATATATATATACATACTTATATATATCATTTGTCATTCACATGTAAGGGAGTGAAACAACTAACAATGACTATTGAACCGCAATATCACACTTCTCAAAATTCAAAAGTATGTCTAGCAACATAAATGGGAAAAACTTACAAATCAAGTTGTTCCCTACGAAATAAGATTTACATAATTTCTCTTAGAAACCAAAACCAAAAAATCAAAGCCAAAACCAAAAAATCAAAGGAAGTAAACAACCTGAAGATGTTTAATGCTTGCAAGGATTGTACCAATAGCATCACGACACCACAGGCGAAAATCAGTCAAAACTTGATCATTTCGACTTCGAGCCGTATGAAGCTTCTTTGCAGGTTCACCAATCAGATCAGTAAGTGCTGCTTCAATGTTCATATGCACGTCCTCTCTGTCGGTCCTCCACACAAATTCACCCGCTTCAATTCGTCTCTCTATCTCATGGAGTCCTAGCAAGATACTATCCCTATCACTGTCGCTAATCAGTCCCTACAACATTGCAGTAAATCAGCAACCATGCACACATTTAAATATCCTCTGTTTGATTTCTAAAATTATGTTAAGATTCTAAAAGAAATCTAAATTGTTAAACACTATGCTCCATTTGGTTCCGGAGAAAAAATTATGAAAAAGAAAATGAATTTAATTATCTAGAACTTTTAAAAAACAAAAATCTCCCCTTAACTATGCTTTAAAAAAGACCCAAAAAAAAAAAAAAAACTACCGTCTGCTTCCTGAGGCTCTGGTTGATAAGGAAAATTATTATGTTGGCAAGAGAAAGTAATAGAAAGCAAAGTGTATGAAAAAATAAATAAAATTTCTTGCATGTATTTAGTTAGGATGAAAATTTTACAAGAAACTTGTAGGACTTTTTAACCATTATATAATTTAACAACTTGAAAATATCACTTTGTACATTATTTCGAAGGAAAATTTTGGAAAAAGTTGAACTGTTATAAGAATCTTATATACCCAAAAATTACTACTTTCTTGCATCTAAAAACTCTTTGAAAAAAATCAATTTCCTGCATTTTCCATAACTTTCTGTGGTTAAACAAAGCCTGAGAAAACATAGGGCAAGAAAACAAATTTTCTCATCAACCAAACAAAGTGTTATAGAAACATTAAAACCTCTACCTCACTAAGTGTTTTTGTTACGCATGTAAACAAAAACAGTAACTGAATCCAAACTTTCTTTCCTCACCCGGAAAGCAAACATTGTGAAATCAAAACCCTAATTTGGATGGTAGAAAAATAAAAAGTTGGGCAAACTGACCTGGTGAGCGAGCATTTCGGCGTGAGCTCGACTTCCCATGATGTCGTGCTTGTAGAGGGCCTTGTCGTAGGAGATCGACTCCGTGAACTTCTCCACCGCGTCGGTGACGCTATCCTCGAACCGTCCGCCCCATAGCTTCGCCTCCTTAGTCTCCGGTGGCGGCGGATGAACACCGCCGTCGTGGATAGACGAGTTCATGTGTTGTGAGGCCGCCGGTGGTGGTCTCTTGGGTAATGAAAAAGAGAGTGATTTAGGGCTCGAATATGTGTGTTTGGAGAGAGAGAAAAGTGGGGCAATTGAAGAAGATGAAGAAGAACCTAACAGTGTCTCCATTTGTGTGTGCGCGACGGCCAAGGGTGAGTTTAGTACAGGCTACAGAGAGTTTGTCGCTCATTCGAGTGGGTTTAGTTGTGAGTTTACTTAGTGCCCCACACGTGCCACTCAGCCTGTCAGCCAGTCCTTTCTTTTTTTCTTTTTCTTTTTTGCATCTTTTTTTCATGCCCTGGACTTCTGTTTGGGAAAGAAGAAAGTTGAACGGAAGGAGGGGAGGAAAATGGATGTTGGAGAATATTTTTAAAGAAAATATTGTGTCTTTATTTTTTTATTCTGTTGGATGAAAGTGAGGGGAAGAAGATAATTTATTGTGCTTGTTAAAAGAGAAAAGAAGAGAAAATAATATGTAGTTGAACTAACCTCACTTGTCTACTCTTTTTGTTCATATTTAGAGTAATAAAAATATTGCTCTGATTATTCTAAAGCTCTAACATGGTGATATCAAATATATCAATCGAATTGATGGTTTGAATTTGAAATTAAAAAAAATTTAATTAAAGTTTAAAATTAAATTTTATCGGATCCGAAATACACATTAAAAGAAATTTAATTAAAATTTAATTTATCCAAAATTTAACCCACTACAAAACTCTTCTGGGATGAATTCTTGGGCTACGAGGTGTTGTAACTTGTAAGAAGTGCACTGCGTGTGTAAAGGGTTGGGCTTTCTCAGCCCATTGACTGACTATTGAACTGATATCCCGTTCGGCTTGACCTCATCATGTGGGCCATATAACTTCATCTTGTGGGCCATATAACTGCTCCAAACAACATTTTATTTTGAGATTCACAAACTGCTACAAATAATACATTTTTTTTCTTTCTTAAAAACAAGTGTTGCCTCACTCATGTGGTATGCATATTGAATACATTCAATTTTGAAGCAAACAAGGGTCTGAATGGTGAAAAAATTAAAGTGTTCCCTCTGTAATTAAATAAAAAATTTTGATAAACAAATTATGAAATGTGAAATAACTAATTGTCCCTCTTTTTATATATATAATATAGACACACTTGTGATATCCTGAATACGTTCTAAACTTTCTTAACATTCAATTTTGGTGCAATCAAAGACCTAATATTTGTTCATTAAAGATCTGGTAATCTTCTACAGACAAAATTTTCCTTTTTTGGTAATGTTCTGAATGGCTATAATTACCACATTTCAATTCCAATTCTTCACAAATAGAACCTCAAATATAGTAAGCACTGTGTCTCAGAGAACTTTCATTGCACCATTCATTATTGATGGTCTCAGTCTCTGTTGATGCCAAGTTCTTCTACCCAATGATTGAGTTGAGCGGCAACACATTCTGAACCTGTGGAGCCATATGAACAAAAGTTTTTAATTGAATTCTCCGCTCCAAGGAACTCGTAAACATCCTTGTCAAACACGGGGCTTATATTTTTCATCTCAGCAAGACTCAGGTCCTGAAGCTGGCAGTTTCTGAACAGAAGAGGCACACTATATTACAATCGGCACAACTTCCATCTTTTTAACCAAGGGAGATTTTTTTTCTGAACAGAAGAGGCACACTATATTAGAAAATACACCGAGGGATTATTAACCATTTGGCTGAGTTGATAATTGGTGATTGGAATATTAGAACCATCTGAAGTTGATGGGTGAAATTTATGTAAAGAAGTCAGTTCTCCAATGGTAAAATGATGGGTGATTGAGGGACATAACTTGCCTTCTTCACCAGATAATACTTTACCTGTAAATCACGATTGTAAGCTTGAGGAAGTCCCTTGCATAATACATGAACGGAAGCCAGGTCTCCAACAACTAGAGCAGATTTTCCACGAACAAGTTCCATCGGATCTGGGTTTTTCTTCTGAGGCAATATTTTTGTACGTTGCTGAAGAATTAATCAAACAGTTTTTTTTTTTTTTTGATAAGTAGAATTAATCTAACAGTTGACATTCCAGAAAGTTAAATATGTTAACTATGCAAGTCGGCTTGATATCAAAATTCTTTCAGCACAAATGAATATTAAAGGCTTAAATGTTGGTGATCACTGATTACTGTGAAATTGTGAATAAATTTTAAAGATCTATATAACATTTGCTCATTGGAAACACCAAAATAGGATTCCTGGGAATTAGCAGAACTTATCCAGCAATTGGTCAAAGGTTTTAAAATATGAAGCTTATAAAGAAAAATCCTTGCACTCACTGCCACGTGAGCAAATCAAGTGCACAGGTTCCAACTTTCAAGAAAGATATGGTTATAGATCTGATAACATATAACATGAGAGACCCATCGGAGATTCAGAAAGCCAAGAAAGACTGGTGCCTAGACGGTCTATAAACTAATACATCAGTGTACTAATATGCATAACTTTGAAGAAGGAAAGTCATTGATCTGCCTGGTTGGTAAAAGGTTTTAAGGCAAGATTTGAAGGAAAACATACTATAACACGCGGTGTTTATCATTATCAAAAGCTCTGAATATGTCCAATAACATGGTGAGAAATTCCCTTACTGGCCTTACCATGTTTGTTCTTACAAGAGCCTCTCTTTCCCCTTACATTAGCTTTATAAGATGTTTTCAGCTATTAAATCAGTTAAGTTTGTGCTATGTCATGTGTGAAATTGTTAATAAGAATATTTGATGTATTTGTGATGTCAAAAAATTTGAAATGTTGGATATTGTTTTCATAGATTCCACTTCTCATGATAAATGTGAGACTGGACGGGTATAATAATGTCTGAAGCAGCCAGCAACTACAAATATTTGAACCTTCACAATGCTTTAAAAAAAAAATAAAAAATAAAAAAAAAAATCTACCGTCTGCTTCTGGTTGATAAGCAAAATTATAATGTTGGCAAAGCCAAGTGAATGAAAAAATAAATAAAATTTCTTGCATGTATTTAGTTAGGATGAAAATTTTACAAGAAACTTGTAGGACTGATACCTTTTTAACCGTTATATAATTTTTACAAGAAAATATCACTTTCTACATTATTTCCAAGGAAATTTTTGGAAAAAGTTGAACTGTTATAAGAATCTTAATTATCTACCCAAAAAGTACTACTTTCTTGCTATCTAAACTCTCTTTTAAAAAAAATCAATTTCCTGCATTTTCCATAACTTTCTGTGGTTAAACAAAGCCTGAGAAAACATAGGGCAAGAAAACAAATTTTCTCAGCAACCAAAGTGTTATAGAAACATTAAAACCTCCACCTCACTAAGCTTGTTACGTATGTAAACAAAAACAGTAACTGAATCCAAACTTTCTTTCCTCACACGGAAAGCAAACATTGTGAAATCAAAACCCGAAAAATAAAAAGTTGGGCAAACCGACCTGGTGAGCCAGCATTCGGCGTGAGCTCGACTTCCCATGATCTCGTGCTTGTAGAGGGCCTTGTAGTAGGATATTGACTCCGTGAACTTCTCCACCGCATCGGTGACGCTACCCTCGAACCGTGCGCCCCATAGCTTCGCCTCCTTAGTCTCCGGTGTCGACCGATGAACGCCGCCGTCGTGGATAGACGAGCTCATGTGTTGTGAGGCCGCTTGAATGTGTCTTTTTGGAGGGTGTTAAATACAAAGATAGAACTCTGTTCTGTCTTGAATATTGATGTGTAAGAGAAATGTAATACAAGAGTATATAGGATTTATATAGGAGAGAGGTCATGTGTCTCGTTACTATATAGCATAAAGTTATATATGGTTATGAGCTTTAATTAAGATAATTACTGTATAAGGTAATGCTGATAATAATATATTGTAACGATAATAATACATTGAAGAATGCTAAGTACAATTGCTCGTCTCATTAGTTATTTTAAGTCTCATTAAGTACTCGTTCTTTATTTTCAAGGAACGTGAAATATGTAACCTACCTTTAAACGAAACTTACCTTTAAAAGACAAAACTACCCCTTAAATCCTTTTTCATTACCTTTCTTATATCTCCTCCCTCAATCCATATACGTATTTCTTTCATTTTTATTTCAATTGTTGCCATTGGTTATTTTATTTATTTATTTGTTTTAGCCTTTTTTCCATCCTTCCTTTCAAATATATATATATATTTTTTAAACACGAAGAAATAAGAACAGGGGAATGTTCACCAAATTTATTAAACCAAATTATTATTAAATTTTAACCCAAAACAAATAAGAAAAGGGGAATGTTCACCAAATTTAGAAAAAAAAATTAAGAACAGGGAAATGTTTACCAAATTTGTTGTTAAACCGGAACAATTTAGAAAAAAATAAGAAAAAAAAAATGAATTGAGGGTATACTAAAAAATATGATGGACTTATAAAAAAGAATATATTCATTATAAAAAATTTATTTCAATTGTCGCCCTGTTCTTAATTTTTTTTTTTAAAATTTGGTGAACATTTCCCTGTTCTTATTTATTTTGGTTTTAAAAAAAAAAAAAAATGAGAGGAAGGACAGAAAAAAGGCTAATGGCAACAATTTAGAAAAAAAAAGGGAAAAAAAGAAAAAAAAGAAGGAAATAGTTAACTAGTGGCAACAGTTGAATTAAAAAGGAAAGAAATAAAGGCAGTAAAAAATATATATATACTACACGTATATGGATTGAGGGAAAAGATACAAGAAAGGAAATGAAAAAGGATTTAAAGGATAGTTTTGTTTTTAAAAAATAAGTTTATTTTAAAGTAGATTATATATTTGAAGTTTCTTGAGAATAAAGAAAGAATAATTAAAGAGACTTAAAGCCAATGAAATGAACGATTGTAAAAACGCCCTTTAACTTATTATATATGTAGTAATATATTCTAACAATATATGGTAAAAATATATTATTAAGAACAAATTGAAGACCACGAGGAAGAACCTAACAGTGTCTCATTTGTGAGTGCGCGACCGCGAAGGGTGAGTTTAGTCCAGACTACAGAGAGTTTGTCGCTCATTCGAGTGGGGTAAGTGGTGGGTTTAGTCCAGACTACAGTGCCCCACACGTGCCCCTCAGCCAGCCCTCCTTCTGCATTTTTTTTCATGCCCTGGACTTCTGTTGGGGAAAGAAGAAAATTAAATGAAAGGAAGAGGAAAATGGATGTAGGAGAACATTTTTAAAGAAAATATTGTGTGGTTTTATCTTTTTACTCTGTTTGATGAAAGAGAGGGGAAGAAGATAATTAGTTTGTTTGTTAAGAAACAAAAGAAGAGAAAACAATACTTATTTGAACTAATTTCACTTGTCTACTCTCCTCTATTATCATTTCT